ATACAGAAAATGAGACTTACAAAGTCAGTCTTATTCTCTTTCGTTTGTAGATAACCTGTTTTTTATATTTTTCAGTGTAGAAGAGTATGGAATATCATTTCAAAGTCTGAAATTTTACCATGATGTGGCTATATGTGTGTCTTCTTTCAATGGTTCCTGCCTGACAGACTCAGGTCACCCTTGAGCTCAGGGAAATATTTTTTGCTTTTTTCTTTAGCTATTTTTTTTTTATAAAAACCCCTGTTGAACGCTCCTAAAATGCCCATTATAATTGTGTCTCCTGCATTTAACCTCCCTGCCCTTTTAAATCATAATTTTTATCTCTATTTTTTTTGTTTTGTTTTGCTTAGTGGTCTTGAAGAATTCCTTTATTCCTTCACTTTCATCAGTATCTGTCCTGCCATTCAGTACCTCTACTGAGATTTTAATTTTGTCAAACACATTCCTTCCAACCCTAAGAAATCTAACTTGCTCCCTTGTTGCTCCTTCTGATGGTAGGCTGCATTTATTTTATTGGTGTATATCCTCTCAAATCTCTCTAGGAGCACTAATTTTAATTTTCAAGTGTTTAATCACATACTGTATATTAATTCTTTCATAGGAGGTCACCTCATGTATTTTCTCTGCCCGATCCTCCTGTTTTCTTACACTTCTCGCATGACTGGCAATCTTCTATCATGTGCTAATGTTCACTAATGAAGGCTTAGAGTATTCAGAGTACCCCTTTTTAATGCATTGGTCGTTCTTCATTTTTTGTCTTCTGAAGACATCCACAGATATCCACTAACTAAACACGATTTTTTTAAGTCTCACTGTGAACTTAAAGTCCTAATTTGCTGTGTATTTCCCCACAAAAACAAGCATGAGGGATAATGCTACAGCCAGCAACTCTGCAAACCAGGCTTTCTTGGCAGAGGTCTCAAATTCTTTAGTTTGTTTTTTTCTGACTACTTTCCAAGGTGCTTCAGAGAAAAAGAAGTGTTGCTCCTGTCCAAGAGGTTCCTCATCAGTGACTGCTGGGCCTCTGGGTGTCTCCTCAAGGCCATCTGGCTGCTCAGCCCCATCTCCCATCCACAGCCTCCAGGGCTCAGGTGGAGGGCTTTCAACCCCTCTCCACACGGCCAGCACTTTCAGATTTTGCCCTCTAACTCAAGAGAAATTCACAGGCCCTTTCAAAACTATCTCCCATTTCTACCTGACTCACAGAACAGTGTTGGCAAGGTATAAACTCCCAGTGCCTTCTTTTGGTTTACTATGCATTTGTTGTTTGTTATATATTATTTTTGGCCAATATTCTTTTGGTTTGCTATAGTAGGTTGAGATTGTTCTTAGTTTCAATAAAACCAACATTTTCTTCTTTTATTTATTTACTTTTATTCATTTCCATGGTTTGGGTGACATGCCACTGCCTTTTCAGAAGTCTGTCAATATATGATTTATGCTTGAATGTGTTATAGAATTCAGTAAGAGAGAGAAAAACTTATCATAGTATGTAAAGAGAATAAAAAAGATTTCAGCTTATAATATCATTAATAATATGCTGAAACTTTTTTATTCTCTTTAATATTAATATAAATTAATAATTATTAATATGCTGCTGTTACATACATATCTACATGTATCTCCACTCAGGTCACCTTTCCTGAGCTTCAGACTACATTTCTAGTTGAATATCTGCATGAGACCCTCACACCAAGTACTATCTTCTTCAGCAGTCAATTTAGGTGTTAAAATGGAACTTACCGTAAGAGCTGAGACCCAGGGAAATAGATGCAGGTAACTCTCGTGTTTTGTGTGAGCTACAACACTGTCACTTACAAAGCAGTTAGAAGAAAACCAGCTGAAACTCTTAGCTTATTATCCAATCACATGTACATTAGGGGAAGTTGGAACTGCAAGAGATTTTTTGGAACATGCTGTGCCGTGGCAGAGGGGTGGGACTGACTCCTCTTGTCTCAAGCCTAAGGAAAGAGTCGGAAGAGGGACCACTCAGAAACCTCAATTTGCATCTCTTGGATCTTCGGGAACACAGAGGACAGGTCTCTGGTTCACGTGCAACAAAAGGCTGTCGGGCTCAGTGCTCTGTCCCACATAGATTGCCACCCTGGGTATGATCTGTCCGCCCAGTGTTTGTGGAGGTAAAGAATGCATGAGCGCTTCCATGAGCTGGATGAGCAACTCTGCAAGCAAGGCTCTCTCCGGATCAGGTCTGAAATTCTTCAGTTTATTTTTCTCTGGCTATTTTTCAAGGTGCTTCAGAGAAAAAGAAGTGTTGCTGCTCGTCAAGTGGCTCACACATAAGGCCGCCTATGACCTGCTGAAGTAGGCATCGGGAGGAACCAGCCTTCCAGCAGAAAATAGGACGGGGGAGGAGTATCGGGAAAAGAGTCGAGAGCAACCAGTGAGAGAAACGCTTCACCCCAATGCAGGGACGCTTAGCCGTTAAATACTCTCAAGACTGCAACCCCTCGGCCCCTTCCTGTGGCATTTCTGATCCCCGTTACTTTGCTCTATTTTACCTTTCTAGCATTTATCTTCTAATATATCATACGATTTACATATTAACTATCTTTATTGTTCAGGCTGTGAGCTCCATGAAGGCAGGGGTCTTGGTATGTGTTATTCACTGATGAACAGAATAGTACTTGGGTCATGATAGAAACTAAATAAGTATTTGTTGAGTTTGAATATGAATTAAATTGGGATCTACAAAGAGCATTCGTATTAGTTCATTTTCATGTTGCCATAACAGAACACCTTACACTGGAGAATTTATAAGGAACAGAGTTTTATTTGGCTCATCATTCTGGGACAGCTGCATCTGGCACAGGCCTTAGGCTGCTTCTACTCATGGCAGAAAGTGGCAGGCAGCTG